ACATTTTAAACACAAAAAAATAATACAGAAAACCCAAATTCTATTTTCATAAGATACCTATGCAGTAGGTGTTTGGCACAGTAAGTTGAGTCACATTGACAAGATATTTCCCATGGGCCTGAAGAAAACTATTTATTGTCAAAATTACTTAAAGTTGAGCAGGGAGACAACGGACCTGTTCACTTCTTAAGCCCCGTAAAAGGTGATCAGCGAGACTACAGTATCACTTGTTTCTACAGTGGTTATCCAACCCATGCCCTTAATCTAATCCCTGCAGCTTTCCCAAGAACATATCCTCAGAAACATGTCACTGCCAATCCAGCTTTAACGTTTGGACTTTATGGAGTATAATTGAGGGAGAATACATATATTCATTATGGTCAAAATATAGATAAATGCCCAGTAGAAGATACTTGAAAGAGATGATAAGGACATATAATGGTGTTTCTGTACGCTGGCTGTTCTGTGCCCTCCTGTAGTGTGCAGTTGCCACCTATTAATTAATTGCTGCCAGTTAACAGACTCATCCATTCTGTAACAGAATTGCATTGAATTTCTTTCCAATTTGTCAGAACTTTTTGTCTTACTCTTCCTCTCCTAGGTCATGTTTGTGGCTGGTAAATTGGTTTCTGAAATGCAGTCTCACACACTTTGCTTTTGAGTTAGCTTGCTTCTCCACAGGACACTGCTATATACTGTACCTTTAAGTACCCAAATCAATTTAATTAAATTTCATTACAGGCACTAGAGCTGAAACAAACTAATGAAAGCAACCATCATGTCAGGTGGTATTTATCTCAGCATTAAATTGAAAATACTCCCTTTAGGCTCTTAAAAATTAGTTTCAATATTTAACACTAATAGCTTTTGGAATTGTTGATGGGGTAGTTTTAATGAATTTGTTAGAAACTGTTTACCTTTCCAAGCAAAGAAGCTTGTTCCTTGCGGCAGCAGAGAGCTAAAGAGAGATGACTTAAAAGTATTAGGGTTTTGAAATGCTGTGAGATCTGAGAGCTGCCCTTAATGCTGTTGAAAAACGCCATGAAGGTTGTCATACAGTGATAGCAATACGCCTTGTTTAGTCAAAAGCAATGCCAAGTCACTGCAATACCATATTAGACATTATTGTTTGCCTGACTTATTTTATTGAGTTGACTGGGCTTGCAAACTTGAAAGTTTGTAGCAGATTTTATTTGAAAATCTCATTATAGGTGCTACTCTCTGCAGAGAGAAAAATGAAAATTTGCAGGGAGGAAAAGAAGGAATAACATCTGCCGCACAGAAGAATGCTATTGCCAGCATCCCAACTACAGCTGGATTTTGCTCCCTCACTCTTGAGGCACCTTGCAATACTGTTTCTAAGGAAGCAGCGTTGATAAAGTACCTGTTAATATTCTGCAGAACAAAAACGGTGCCACACAGTATTCCTGTAGAGTCCATGGGACTGTGCAGATAATGGGGATTTATTTCATCTGCTTCCCATCAGAACCAGGGTCCAGGTATTAATGTAAACAATACAGATGGAATAGACATCAGGAAGAAGGGTTTAGGGGAAGATTCAGGTCACTTTTTTCTGACCCACATACCAGGGATTTATTTGAGGGAAGCAAGAGTGCAAAAGGAAAGTGTACCTGGCCATGCATAGATCCACAAAGCTGGAAGCGCTTATGACTTGCACTATGTAAACATGGCTGATGTCTCCTCCTTTTGCAGGCAGACAGTAATAAGTAGTCTATTCCTTTGATCAGATCTAGAGTCTGTCTTCTTGATATCTTCATCAGTCTGTTTAAAAGAAAATAAATTACCCGAAAACTGTGACAGGGTGAATTATAGAGAGTCACCTTTCTGGTAAGAACTTCTGACCCCAGAGAAGGA